AAGTGTGCGTTTTACCAGCAGATCCCATGTTAGTTCACATGTGCAACCCTGCTCCCAAGCTGGCTGGGTTTAGATACAGAAGGAGAAAGCTAGTGGTACATCCTGGTGCCTTTAGTTGATTCTATCGCCTTGTCATGGTGAGGTCAGCCTTGCCGTGAGAGTTACGATCTCATTCTGTCTTTAAACCATCATGTACAAACTGGTGCAGGCCCACTTCTTTCTTCTCTCCTTTCTTCTGCCTTTATATAGTTTCTTTATATGACTTATATGCCTTTATATAGTTTCTTCTTCCAAAGGCCAACATTGATCTGTTGCATCTATTTTTCTGTGTATAGTAGCAGGTGGTTTCGTATGATAAGTATCTCTCACGGTATTGGGGGATAGGGTAGAAACTAAACCTCTTTTGTTTTCAGAATCAACTAGACCCTAAGAGGCCAGAAGTACTAAAATGTGCTAACTTTGATACCAAATTCAAATTGTATTTATCTTTTTTTTTTTGAGACAGAATATCACTCTGTTGCCCTTAGTAGAGAGGGGTGGCATCATCATAGCTCACAGGAACCTCAGACTCTTAGGCTCAAGCTTTATTCCTGCCTCAGTCTCTAAGTAGATGATACTACAGGTGCACACCACCATATCCAGCTAGTTTTTTCTATTTTTAGTAGAGACGGGGTCTTGCTCTTGCTTAGGCCAACCAACTCCTTGGTTGCTGGTCTCTAGCTCCTGAGCTCAAGCAACCACCCACCTCAGCCTCCCAGAGTGGTAGGATTACAGGTGGGAGCCACTGCACCCCTGGCCATATTTATAATTAAATTAACAACAACAACAAAAAATCCTACCACTACCTACAATTTTCTTTCTGCTTAAGGACTGGGAATTGGATTATGGTAGTCAATTATTCCCAATAATTACTGTGAAGATTGCAGAAATATGATGAAAATTGTGGTCCCATCGCTGGGTGCAGAGCGGGTATGTAGCCTTTCCTAATCCAGTCAGCCTGTCTCTGCATGGAGTCAGTGTGGCATTTCCTGCTTGGTCAGTGTATAAAACTACTCTGCCTCATCAGCCCTGTATCCTGTGCGGATGGAGCCCACTCTATCAGGATAAGTCCTCAGGCGAGATTATGCTTTGATTGTTTACAACATGTTCCTGTTGGCAGTTACTCACTTAAAAAAAAAATAGGGGTTGCCCATCTGGGTAAGAGTATGGGTATGGGTTCCTAAATGGGAACTGCGTGCTCCCAGGGACGACTTCTTGCTATCTGTGCCAGGGGTGAAGGACACTGAAAATCACCAGAGGTCATGCTTTCTCTAACCTCCTGCTTTTTACCTGCTAATCTCTTTCCCTAACTCTGACCATTTACCAGTGTTCTGACAAGGAGCTACTTCCTTCCAATTTGTCTTTCTTTAA